CTAGCCCCAGCCCCAGCAGCTTCTCCACTACCCGAGCCCGTGACCGCCGTGCCGTCAGGTGCTTCATGATGTTCCCCATGATGTCTGTGGGAGGGGGGATCAGGGTGGGGGGGCTCCAAGGAGCTATAGGGGGGCTGCTCCCCTGCCTGTCCTGGCCCCACTCACCCTCTGAGTCCCGAAACTCCTCAAAGAGCCGAGTCAGCTCCTCCTCCTGCTCTTGTGTCCACAGCACGATGCAGGTGCCCTTCCTGGGGGAGCACAGCCGCAAGTCCAGGCCTCGGGAGGAGGTGGGTCCCTGCCTGAGCCTGGGGGTCTCCCATGGGGGTCTCTGACCCACCTCTCCCGTGGGAAATCCTTGGCACTGCTGGCCAGCCCCATCCGCACCAGCTGCTTCACCACCTGCCTCCGTGTCCGCCCAGGTCTCGGGAGATGAGCCAGAATGGTGGCAATGACATTCTCACCTGCGGGAGCAGGAGGATGCAGGGATGATGCCCACACTGCCCACCACCCCCCAGCCCCAGGGACCCTAGTGGTACCTTCTGCCTCCTTGTACTTCCAGTACAGCTCCTGCAGCTCCTGCTCCTCCTGAGGGGTCCAGATAGGAACTCGGCTTCTGGCAGCCCTGGGCAGAGGCAGAAGGGAGGTGAGATGAGGGGAGTAGGAGCAGCAGCCCTCTTCTGGGCACCACTTACCCCTCTCCCTCCTGCAGGGAGCTGTAGCCCTCGGTCATCTCCCGGACAACCGCTGGGCTCTTCCAGAAAAGCAGCTCCACGAAGGCCTTCTTGTTGGTGGCTGCCAGCACAAAGAACTTGCCCAGGATGAACTTGGCTAAGGCCACCAGCTCCTGTGAACAGCAGGAGGGAGAGAGGAGCTGGGGGACACCAGTGGCAGAGTGGAGCAGAAGGGGGGGCTAGGGACAGAGAGGGCCTGGGGGACACCAGTGACAGACTGAAGCAGGAACGGGGCTAGGGACTGAGAGGGGCTGGGGGATATGGGGACATAGAATGGAGCAGGGGACACCAAGAGTGAATAGAGGAGCAGGGGGGTGTTGGGGATGAAGAGTAGGGATGGGGAATGTCAGGGATGGAGAGCAAGGCTGGGGGACACCAGGGATGGAGAGCAGGACTTGGGGACACAGTGGATAGAGAGCAGGGATGTGGAACATCAGGAACAGAGAGGGGCTGGGGGATGTTGAGGATTGAGTGGGGCTGGGGGGCACAGGGACAGATCCCCCCCTCGGGGGCTTGCGGCTGTTTGCACTAGCCGCAGGGTCACTGAGCAGGCGGTGGAAGAGGGTGAAGAGGGAGAGCTGGAAGAGCAGGGGCTCCATGTGCAGGTCACGGGCCAGGCGGTGCAGCAGGCGTGCAGCACAGTGGTTGGTGTGGGGGCTGTTCCGTGCGTACCCCCGCAGCAGGAGCACCAGCGCCCGCACCACAGGGGCACAGGCAAACCTGCCCCAGTGGCCACATGAGTGGGGCCATCACAAAGCAGGGCCACCACAAACCCCCAGGGACCACCCGACCCTTCTCACCGCTTCAGGTAGTCGAGAAAGTTGAACTCCTTCTCGGACACCTGCATGGTCTCTGTCTCCTCTTCCTCATTCTTCTTCT